TGACGACTGCCTCTTGGTCCAAGTATAGGTTTCGTATTAGCACAATTAAATGTTCTGGGATCCCCATTCTTCTCAGAGTCAGCCACAGTTTGTTTTGGTCCATGCAGTCAAATGCCTTTGCATAATCAATAATAGTAATAATAGTAATAATAGTAATAGTAATAGTAATAATGCCACCCAACAAGAAAGAATAAAAATGAAGAGATCCTTAATGGGATGTGTTGATGCAGTGATTCATCAACAGGCTTCAGCACAGCAGAGATTTGAACATAGCACAGGATCAGACAAGATTTTGTGCTGTTGTATGAGGGTCTCCCGGAGTTGAAGTTGACTTGGTGGTACAACAATAACAACATAGATTTAATTTTGCCTAGAGCTTAAGAAAAGGAGCAAACACACTCCTCACAAAAATGCAGCCAGGAAAACAGACAGCTGTAGAGTTTCCCTACCTCGTTTGCTCCTGCCAAGACTGGGCAGATTCACTTCTCAGTACTGCACAGCATCGTTTCCTGGGCAGAGCAAGGCAAGCTTTGCTGTACTCTCTGCCTCTCGACACTCTCTATTCCTGACTCATACCCTTCAGAGGGAAAGGAGATAATTAAATGGTTTGATCTGAAAGGCCTTCCCCACCGGGCTGCTAATGCCACGTGTAGTAAGTATAAACAAATAGAAGAGAAGATGTCAAGAAAGGTCAATCCTAACAGAGTGGAGCTTACTCAAAGAACTTAAAACTGAGATACATGTGTACTAGTCAAACACCTGCAAATTAGGAAAAATCATCCCATGATCATTAAACAAGGAGTGCAGCACATGTAGCCAATGAATTTCTTTTTCCTGAAAGGAGAAATTAGAGTTCATCTTGTTTCGATCCAAAGTCAATACACATGGTATCAGCAGTCGGGAGAAACAGAGATGTATAGCTTTGGGAAAGTCCACTGTCAGAGGTCTCTCCAAATTCCTGAATAATGATGATGTCAGTTTAAAGACTAAGGCACTCCCAAATCAAGTCATAGTCCTTCTAATCACTTGCAGTGCATCCGAGAGCTGGATAATGAACAAGGATGACAGGAGAGAATTAAAGCTTTTGAGCCATGGTGTTGGAGAAGAGCGCTGAAGATCCCATGGATTGTCCAAAGAACTGATGTGCCTTGGAGAGTGTGTAACCAGAATGTTCCTTAGAGATAAAGATGGTGAAGCTTTGTCTCACATATTTTGGACTTGTTGTTGTTACTGTTATGAGCTGTCGAGTCACCTGTGACTCATAGTGACCCTATGTACAACAGCCCTAAACCCTGCTCTGTCAATCTCACTGTCTCCGACCACTCACCCCCACTACTCCAGTCACTGAATCAATCCACCTCATAGAGGGTCTTCCTCTCCTGCACTGTCCCCCCACCCTTCCAAGCATGATGTCTCTTTCCAAGAATTGGTCCCTCCTTGCAACATGCCCAAAGTATGTCAGATGAAGCCCCAGGATCCTTGCCTCCAAGGAGCAGCCCGGTTTAACCCTCTCCAGGATGAATCTGTTTGTTTTCCTAGCAGTCCATGGTACACTCAATACTCTTCTCTAGCACCACAGCTCAAAGACATCAATTCTCCTTCTATCCTCCCTAGTTATTGTCCAACTCTCTGATGCAGAACAAGTGATTGCAAAGACCATGGCCTGTATGAAGTGCACCTTAGTCTCCAGAGTGACACCATTGCCTTCAGTACTTTGGAGAGGTCTTTCCCATTGAAATACATCTTTTAATTTTTTGGCTGCTGGTGGCAAGAGTGTTGACTATGGAGCCAAGCAAACTAAAACTGTGAACAATCTCAATCTCTTCACCTAACATGTTTAGGAGAGGCTATTCCTTGGAAATGAACTTCGTGCTTGGAAAGGTGGAGGGTCAGTGAAGGAGAGGAAGACCTTCAATGAGATGCAATGGCACAGTGGTAGAAGCAATGGATTAAAATATATTGAGGATGATAAGGATGGGACAGGATAGGACAGAACTCTTAAATGCTGTTGTTCACAGAGTGGCTATTTGTTGTACTTGACTGTTGCTGTTGTTATTTGCCATTGAGTAAATTATGACCCAAAGCAACCCCATGAAGCTTGCCCTATCCTGAGCCAACCTCACCATCTCTGGCACACGTGATCCCATTGCCACAGTCACTGTGTCAATCCATCTCATCCAGGGTCTTCCTCTTCTGAGCTGAGCCTCTCTCCTTCCAAGCATTATGTCCATCTTCAAGGACTAATCCCTCCTGGCTATGTGTCTAAAGTATGTGGGATGGACCTTCCTAATCTTTGTCCTCATTGAGCAAACCAGAGGGTTTCACCTTCTCCAGGACAGACCTATTTGTTCCCTTGGCCATCCATGGAGACTGGACTTGACTGGATGACACACAACAACACAAAGAAAAACAACAAAAGGAGAAAACAGTATTGGAAAGCCCCAGTTGTAATGTTACACACATGTGCCCTGTTGTTAGTTTCCTACCTAGAATTTCACTATGTGAACTGCAGACAGAATTACTCAGTCTCTGCCCTTGGACCAGCATAAGGTGGGTTCAGGATGGTGGTCAGTGGCTGTTAGAGCTTGGAAGAGGCTTGGGGTATGGGCACCAGAAATAGAGACTGAGAAAAGAGCAGGAGGAAGTAGACACTGTAGAATGTTGAAAGAGAATATTGGAAGCACATGTGGGGGATGAGTTAAAACGTTGTGCAGCCCCACCCCATCTTTGTGACTGTTGGTATATCTGAAGCTTTATTACTGTGGGTAATCCACCTCATTAACATCCTCTTCATATTTAAGGGAAATAATTAGAGGCTGTATACATAACAACAACTGATGATTGCCTTACGCGTTACCCACTTCTTCACCTCACTAAACCCAACTAAGATCACAGCTGTCAAGTCTTTTCCAACTCAGAGCAACCCCCACAGGCTTCTGAGGATGTAAATCTTTACATCGGGAGATGCCCAACTTTCTTACGGAGCGGCTGGGGGATTCATACTTCTGACCCATTGGTTAGTGACTCAATCAGTAATGCACAGTGCTACCAGGACTCCTTTCAAGTTACTCTTTTTTTTTAGATTATGAAGGTAATACTGTGAGTGGATAACATATTTTGCACTGGAGAAACTAGAGCCCTACAATGCTACCTTGTTCAACATCACACAGTCAGTAGCTTCTTGCAGGTGGAGAGACTGTCTGGGGATACTTAGGGACATCTTGTGGACCTACAGGCAGTAACCTCTTTCTCCTTCACACTGAAGTTTATTATTGAAGGATAACAATGGTAGTGATGATTATGGTAAATGTTAGTAGTAACAGCTAATACATGGTGAGTACTCATTCTGTGAAAACACTGTTTTGGGCATTTTAAATGTAGGAGCTCATTCAATCCTCTCCTTCCCTGGGAGAGAAGGGTTATTCTTATCTGTATTTTACAGAGGAGGAGACTGAGACAAAGGGTAAATTTCCTGCCCAAGGTCAGCGGTAGGTAATGACAGAGCCGGCATCTCTACTCAAGCACTTGGGTTCCAGATCCTAAATTCTTTATCCTCATTCCCTGCTTGTTATTAGACATTTTCTGTCTGCTTTTGCTAGACAGGCTAGCTACAGTTTACGGCTGGACATAAATGAATTCTCCAGTTGGTTAATTAGAGTTCAAGTATTTCCTCCAAAAGTTTCTGGAAGATAGACATAGTTTAAGAAATAGCATCTTCAAATGGAGGTTAAGGTTGAAAAATTTCAGCTTAATCAATGCTTGTTAGAGATCGAAAGCCAGTAAAGGGGTTTACAGTGTCTGAAAACATCCAGGGACCAACTTAGAGGTTTCATCTCTAAATAGAGGTCCTCTATCATAGCCAGTGCCCGGGAACCTGTATTGGAGGCCTGATTGCCACTTCTCCAGGGCGGCTGTGCACAGATAGGGAAGGAGACCCTCCTTACCTGGGGTGCTGGGACAGGAGACCCACCTTAACTGGGGTGCTGGGATGGGAGACCCATCTTACCTGGGGTGCTGGGACAGGAAACCCCCCTTACCTTGGGTGCTTGTAGGCCAGCTGTCTGAACTCATTGTTCCAGTTGGGTCTCCCGTAGAACGTTTTTTGCCTTAAGCCTGTGATCACATCAGTATTTTCATCCCAGTGTAAAGCTATGTGAATCGCCTGAAGTAAAATTTCTGAATTAGAAGGCATTTAGATAAAGAAAACAAAACAAACTATTTTCTATTTCATCAAGGATGACCTGGTTAGATTCATTTGTAGATCTAATGCAAAGATTTTTTGAAATGTGACTCAAAATGCTTGTTGTTATTCTCAGTACAGATTCTGCACTTGAGGAAAGGCAATGTATGCCATGTTGCCTTCTGCCCTGCCCTGTTCCAGTTGGAGCAAATGACCTTACACAGTCTCAGAATACTCAGTGCCAGCTCACGGCTGACCTCCAGTGGGCCTTCCAAGGGTGTAAATTCCAGGGGAGGAGATTGCCCGTCTTTACCAGTGGAGTTGCTGGTGAATTGGGATTTCGGGGGGGGCTCCACCTTTGAATTAACAGCACCACTCCACTGGACTAGGCCACCAGGGTTTTCTTTACATATAATTAACCGTGGAATCAGAACCGAACCACAGCTAACCTGTCCAGCGGGTTTTAGGAGGCAGTAAGCCACAGAGGAGGAGATACCCCAGCTTTTCCAAAGGAGCAGCTGGTGAATTTGAACCATGTGCTTTTGAGCTGGCAGGGCAGCTCCTTACCACTAGGCCACCAGAGCTCCCTTATATACAGCAGACATCCAATTATATCAGTCTGGAATCTTCTTCTTCTTTTTTTTTTTTTTTAAAGAGTGGCATACCATAAGTACAAGTAAGTAAACACAAAAGGACTTTATTTTTGCCAAACATCTCAAAATTAACCTTCACTAGCTACCTTCACTGACATGGTATTGAGCCCTCTGTATTTGAGAAGGGTATTGCCAGATTAAAGACACGTGACTGCCTAGGAAGAAACTGAGTTTTACCATTTGTCTTGGTTCTAGAGTATAGCTGCAATAGAGATGTCACAAGTGGACAATCTCAATAAACAAATGTATCCTCCTACAGTTTAAGAAGCCAAAAGTCCAAGGGCAGAGTTTTGAAGGCAAGCTCTGAGAGAAGGGTCTAGAAGAAGGTTCTTTCTCTTTGTTGGTTTCGAAGAAGGTCCTGATTTCCTTAGGTACCTGTAAGTTGGATGTGTCTTTTAAAACTTTGAAAAATTTATTTCTTTTTAAATATTTTATTGTGTTTTTGGTGAAGGTTTACACGGCAAATTAGATTCTCGCGCAAAAATCCACTGAGGTGGAACTGTCTCACAGCTAGCATTCCAGAGGGTTTTCAGAGGTAGGCAAGTGAATGGGAAGAGATTGCTCATATTTCTCCTACAGGACTACAATGTGCAATACTGAATAATATTGGTAATAAAAGTATCCATGTCTTATTCCCATTATCAAGGAGAATCCTTCCAGAGTCTGTTGAGAACAATGTTAGTTGTTGACTTTGTATCTATCTATCTATCTATCTATCTATCTATCTATCTATCTATCTATCTATCTATCTATATCTCCTTAATCTTGTTGAGGAATTTCCCTTCTATTCTTATTTTGCTGAGAGTTTTTATCATGGAAAATATGTTTTATTTTATTGAAAGTCATTTTTATATCTACTGAGATGTTCATGCTTTAATTTCCTTCACCCCCATTATTGTTGTAAATGACATTGATTACTTTTCTATAGTTGGATCATTCTTGCATTCCCAATATTGAATCCACTTGCTCATGATAGATACAGATACACAACATTGACATAGAGATAGGTATTGTTGGTGCTGTTGTGTGCTGTCGGTTAGGAGATGACCTGTGGCTGACGCTCCAGCAGGTTTTCAGGGACAGTAACTCGCACAGAAGGAGATTTCTCAATCTCCTCCCAGGGAACAGCTGGTGGATTTGAACTGCATGCCTTTGGGACTGCAGCACAGTAAGAGTGAGGACTGCACACTTACCACCTGAGCTCCCTCGATATAGATATAGACATAGATGTACTGCCAATTCTCTTGGTTAAATTTACGCCCAGAATCTCCGAATCTATATTCATGAGTGATATTGATATAGGGATTTTTTTTCAGTTCTATCTTTGTTTGGATTTGGTCTCAGGATTATGCGTATTTCATAGAATAATTTAGAGACCATCCCATCCCTTCCTTTTCATGTTCTAGAATAGTTTGACTAGGACTGGTGTCAACTTTTCTCTGAATGTTTGCTGGAATTATATAGTGAAATTGTTTGAATTATACAGTGGAGGAGATTTTTGTTAGTTGTCTTTTTTTTCTTTTAAATGGCATCATCATCCGTTTATTCTTTTGTTACAGGTTTCTTACAATCCCTCCCCCCGCCCCCAGCTGGTGTAAGTTTAGGTGCATTTTTAGAAATGTGTCCATTTCTTCTACGTTTTCAAATTTGTTGGAGTAGGATTTTTTTCGTGCTACTCTGTTATGATCCTTTTAATCTCAGATGGTCTTTTCTGCTTTGTTTCTTATTTTGTTATTTGCATCTTTACCAGTCTGACCAGTGGTTCCTCAGTTTCTTTTATCTTCTCAAAGAACTGACGTTTAGTCTTGCTGATTTTTTCTAGCCCTTCCTGTTTTCTGTATCATTTATTTTTTATCTAAGCTTTATAATTTCCTTTTCTACCCCTAGTGACTGTGGGGTTCTTTTCTTTTTCCTTTGGAATTGCTTTTGGAGTCAAGAAGAAAACATTACAATTTTTTTCTTATTCTTCTACTTCAAAACATAGCTGCTTTCCAATAGTTTCAAGTCTCTGGACCATACTTTGAGCCTTTACTTCTCAAGACTCTTCCATTTTTACAGTTCAAATGATTATAAACTACAAAGATAAACCCCAAATTTTCATCGCAAACTCTTGTTTTCCTGCGAGGATAATCCTGTGTTCACATTCCCCATGACATGTTTAGTGGCATGCTTATGGTTATATCCAGTTAATTACTGTAAGTAAAATAGAATCATTTCACTTTGAGAATTAGTCATGACTTCAGTTTACTTACATGCACAATCCCTGAGTTACTACTGTAGAAAGGGAGTGTGCTATGGACTGAGTGGTATGAAGAGGAAAGAGATGATTTCTCCACTTTGTTAGGAAGAGGTAATCCAGCTGAGGTGCAACTCATGGGCACAGTTTGCTATAAATGAGACCATGATCCTACCAGGAAAGAAAACAAAGTATAGAGAAATAAAGAATAAAGACAAGGAAGTTCAGACACACAGGGGATGATGGGAGGACATAGGTAGTTTGGAAAAGGGTAGCGCAAGTGAGGTGGAACCAGGTTAGAAGGAACTTATATTGTTGCTAAAGCGTTTGGTCATTATTTAGTTGAAGAAAGGACTTCCTTATGTATGTGGGTGATATCACTGATCCACCAATCACAGAGGCTTAAACATTTGGAGTGATATTTGTGCCATATTTCTCAACGCACTGTTCAATTACTCTCCAAAGCCTGTTGATTTGCCCTTCACTCTACCTCTCCCATCTGTTCCTTCTGTCCCTGTCATCCTGCCACTTGGATGTTGACGAATTCCGTTCAACAATTGACTATTTCAATAGCAGTCTCTTGATTCCTTACTGACAGAAGGTACCAATTATTTTTTTCCCCCTTTAATGTTGAGATTGGTGATATCCTGCCTGAATTAGGGTGTCTAAATGGTTTCTAATATGTCATGGCAATGTTAAGAGAACAAATCTATTTCAATTAACTTGTAGGGGAAAAAGAAAACATATTTTATAGTGTGATTTTGAAAGTGGCAGAGATGTGATAGAGTTGGCTCGTGTTGTCAGAAATCAAACAGAGCCTGTCTCCCAACTTCAAGGATGGGGTGTGTGATATAGACACATGAGACCAATTCATGTTAGAAGCAGAAGAGAGCGTATGGGACCAGTAAGTAAAAGACAAAGGCCGTATCTATCCTTCACCAAATGGATCATTAGTCAAAAATCCCATTTGAATAATGAAAATGTTTGTTTGGAAAGCATAATTAACACTATTAATATCATTAAGATGTTTCAAGGCTTGTTCTCAAGAGACCTATATTTCAAATGATCCCAGAAGAGTAAGATATTTAAGGAGGACAGTACATAATCCATCAAAATTCATCTAGCGACAGATTTCAAATACAGTCTTATTCATGTGCAGAAGCATGGAGTTAAATTACAAGGATGTATTATAGGGTTAGCGAACGAGAGACAGAGAGAGTGAGAAGAGGAGGGGGGAAGAGAGCTAGAGAGCTAGAGCACTAGAGAAAGCTAGAGACAGAGCTAGAGACAGAGCTAGAGACAGAACTAGAGACAGCTAGAGGCAGGGTGAGCAAGCTCATACTTAAGGGTGAAACTTGATTTGTAAATCTGATCAGTGTAAATTTCCTTAACACTAATACAGTTTCCTTAAAGTAAATATGGATAGTAGCTGCTAGAGTGCCAGCTGGAATGAATATTCCATAACCTATTAATCATTGCTAGCTTCCATATTTAAGCAGTTAAAAAGAATGAGACTGTGGCAGCCATCAATACTATTAATATTAAAGGTCTTCCTGTAATACAATGTTATGTTAGTTCTCCTTCTTGTGTAGACTCGACCTCAGTGTTTCACTAACACAGTACACTGCGGAACACCTGTCAAAACATAAGATCATCTAAAATACATGAACACAATTTATAGGATCTCCTTAGAAGAAAGATCTGTACATAAATCATGTGTTCGTATTACTTATTTTCTATGGAAACACAAATACTTAAAAATCCACAGTTTTGTATATAAACACCCAGGAAATTCACCCATTTAACTGGTCCAAGCAGAAGACTAGAATCAACTAGAGGTTTAACAAAATGATATAACAATAAACACCATTTGCTTGATACCACTCTTAAGGAGACATTTGTAACTTTTAGTAACACAATTTAGATTTCCAAACTTGGGGTTGTGGCCCCCTAATCAACTGTTCCAGTTCTTTATCTTTTCTATTTCACCAGCAAGTTAACTGTAGGTTCTTTTTTTCCTTTTTGCTGTGATTTTAATCATTCTTTCTAATCTGGTTTGATGTTATCTTTTCCCTTTGAAGAACCTCTCATACTTCTTTCATGCCCCGAAATGACTGTATAGCTCATCATTGAAATGATTCCTCTCCTCTCTGCTCTATTATTAGAAGCATTAGGGACTATTGCTCATCCTCAAAGTTTTGCCGATACCTGATTTTCATCCCAGCCAGTGAGGAATATGTGATAACTCAGGAAGTGAGCATTCCCGCGCTCACTCATTTGGGTTTCTAGTGAGAGCAAGAGGTCAGCAAACCACTCAAAAGCCCTCGCATCCCTGCAGATCCAGTAGAAATACACCTGTAAAGAGAGAAGGCAAGAAAACCCATTGGTTTCTGTGCTCACAACATGCAGACAATCACAGATTACTTGATCTTCATTTAAATACATCATTGGAGCCCAAATAGGCACTTCAGACACACAACTGGCTTCTCTCTCCCAGTGAACAAACAGCTACACTGTGAATTCTTTCAGGGGGAAAAAAATTCATAAGGTATTTGAAAGAGACCAGAATGAATGTCAAGAGGCAGCAGTCAGTGGGCTATTGCCAATTTCTCTGGATGAGGATCAGTGCTCTATGTTGTGGGCTGAGCAGCTTCTGAACAAGATTAATATCCATAACTCTCACTGCCTTTCTCTATTCCCCAATGGAAGCAAACCAGGAGACTTGCCCCTCTCATCTTTACTAAGGACCTAAGCTCAGGATTTGAACTCTGCACTCCAGAGACTCCAAAGTTTGCATGCTAATCCACTTCAGCAGTGGTAGCCTCTGGGGAGTAGAGATAGATTATGGTATTTATACAATCAAGCCACAGAGGCCACAAATCTCCCTGCAGCCAGATCAATCTGTGTTCAGGAAGGCTGCTGGGTGGGGGCTGGGTTGTGTGTCTCTGATGCTGTAATGAAGGGAAGAGCTTCTGCTTCTCTCTCTGTTTTTTTAAAGTGGAGGCAAAATTTTTGTTTAACAAATCACCTGAGACAAGAAGTGGTTTTGGTTTGAAAGCTTCATTTTTGTACAGAATTTCAGATGATTTTATCTGCAAGAAACTGCAGGGCATGGATTCTATCAATTCTCTTGCATTTTCTCATATGGCTACCCTATGGCCCCATTCTCTCCCATCTTTCCTTCAAAAAGGGACATCTCAATTAAATGGAGAAATGATTGAGTTGCCAAAGATTTAATTTTATTTGCACCCACAATTAGTGCCCATAGAAATGGCAGTCAAGAAATGAAATGAAGCAGTGCATTGGGCAAATCTGTTACTGGTGATCTCTTTAAAGTGCTAAAGAGCAAGGATGTCACTTTAAAGACTAAGGGCCTGCACTGAGCCTAAAGGACATTTGCTATTGTCTCTTCTTTATGTGAAAGAGAATGAATAAGGAATACCAAAGGAATACGTATGCCTTTGAATTGTAGTGTTGGTGAAGAGTATTGAGCATAAAAAGATCTGCCAAAAGAACAGAACAGATTTGTCTTGGAAGAAATGCAATCCATGTGACCTTCAGAAGCAAGGGTAGTAGGACTTTGTTTCACGTAGTTTGGACATGCATCTCCAAAGTATTGAAGAACAATGGTGTCACTCTGAAGACTAAGGTGTGTCTTATACAGGCTATGGTCTTTGCAATCACTTGTTAGGCATCAGAGAGTTGGACAATGACTAGGGAGGATAGAAGGAGAATTGATGCCTTTGAGCTTTGGTGTTGGAGAAGGGTATTGAATGTACCCTGGACTGCCAAGAAAACAAACAGATTCATCCTGGAGAGGGTTAAACCAGGCTGCTTCTTGGAGGCAAGGATTCTGGGGATTCGTCTGGCATACTTTGGATATCTTGTAAGGAAGGACAGGTCCTTGGAGAGGGGCATCATGCTTGGAAGGATGGCGCAAGAGGGGAAGACCCTCTATGAGGTGGATTGATTCACTGACTGGGGTAATTGGAATGGGAGTGTCAGAGACAGTGCAATTGGCACAGGACAGAGCAGAGTTTAGGGCTGTTGTACATAGGATTGCTATGACTCACAAGCGACTCAATGGCACATAACAACAACAACAACAACATGTTGTCGGGAGAGGGTGAGTCCTTGAAGAAGGACATTGTATTCAGCAAAGTAATTGAAAACTATGAAGATCTTTGAGATGAATAGACACAGTGACTGCAGCAATGGGCTTAAGCACAATTGAGGTTCTGAAGAGGAAGCAGAGACGGGCGAGGTTTCTGTTGTACTTAGGATCGCTATGTTGTTATTGATGTAAGGTGTAGTTGAGTTGAGTACGTGTCATAGGAACCCTATGAAAAACAAAGCCAAACTCTGGCCTTTCCTGTTCCATTCCCGCCATCATCTCTGACACACTTGAGCCCATTTCTACAGTCACTGTGTCAATCCATCTTGTTGAGAGTCTGCCTCTCTTTTGCTGCCCATCCAAGCTTGTCCCTCTCCAAGGAATAGCCTCTGCTGGCAACATGCCCAAAGTATGTGAGACAGAGCTTTCCCATCCTTGCCTCCAAAGAGCATTCTGGCTACACCTTCTCCAATACATAGAAGTTTCTTCTTTTGACAGTCCATGGGATGTTCAGTACCACAGCTCAAAGGCATCAGTTTTTCTTCTGTCATCTTTATCCATTGTCCCACTCTCAGATGCATAGCTAGTGATTGAAAAGATCAAAGCCTGAATCAAACGCCCTTAATCTTCACACTGACATCATTGGTCCTCAGTAATTTGGAGAGGTACCAGACAGCAGACTCTACCAATGCAATATGTCTCCTGATCTCCTCCCTCCTGGTACCAAGGGTGGTGATTGTGGATCCGAGTAAGAGGAAATAATTGTCAACTTCAATCTTTTCTCCATCTACCAGGGATGAAGATTTTTGTCTTCTTGATGTTTAAATGCAACTCATATTGAAGGCTGTGGATGTTGATGTTCTACAGCAAGTATTTCAAGTCCTCCTCACTTTCAGCAAGTGCACCTTTGTCATCTGCATAATGTCGGTTGTTGATGAATCTTCCTCTGATCCCGATCCCACATTCTTCTTCATAGTTCAGTTTCTCAAATGATTTGCTCAGCAGACAGACTGAATAGCTATGGAAAGAGGCTGTCACCCTGACTCAAACCTTTCCTGATCTTAAACCATGTAGTATTCCCTTGTTCTGTTAGAACGAGCTTCTTGGTTTAGGTATAAGTTTCATATAATTGTTCTAGGATTCCTATTCTTTTCCATTTTAGCCATTTTTTGTTATTCTCAACAAAGTCAGATGCCTTTTCCTAGTCAATAAAATACAAATGGTATTCTTTGTTTTCAGTCAGAATCCATTTGGCATCAGCAATGATTTTTCTGGGACAATGGCCTCTTCTAAACCCTGCTTGAACTTTTTGGCAGGTTTCCCTCTCTCTCTTTTTTTAAAAAGTATTGTAAATTAGTTTGCCTACACAATTCATGTATATTCACATTATGTTTCATACAATCATATCCACTCACTGTGTTTTATAAAATTAATCACCATTGAACTACACATGCCGTTAACCTGTCTTATCAGATCCCTGCTGGATCTTTTCCATTTCTTTTACCCCTTCCCTCCACCTACCAAATTATACAACACTATGTTCTTCCCCCTGCCCAACCTCACTCCTCTGCTCCTACCCTACCCCCCCTTAAATCCTCACACACGTTTTACCGTTTATCTTTGTATTTCTACAATATTGGTCTTACGCAGTATTTGTCCTTATGAAACTGAGTTAGTTCACTCAGCACATTTTTCTCCAGTCTCTCCCAAGTTATTTAATAGTTTTCAAAATTACTGAGTGCTGCGTAATATTCCATTGTGTGAATGTACCATACTTCCTCAATTTGTTCAATGATGGTTAGACATCTGGGCTGTTTCCAAGTTCTTGTGATTGTGAAGAAATCTGTGAGCATTGGTATTCAAATATCCATTTATGTCTCAGTTCTAATTTCCTTGGGGTATATTCCTAGCAGTGGAATATGGAGTTTCTATGTAGGAAATGCCACACTGCCTTTTGGAGTGGTTGTAACATTTTACAATTCCATCAACTGTGCATGAGAGTTCCAGTCTCTCCTCATCCTCTCTAACATTCGTTGCTATCTGTCCTCATAAATTTTGCCACTGCTACTGTGGTGAGAAGGTATCTCACTGTGGTTTTGAACTGCATCTCCCTTATTACTGGCAGTTCTCTCTTAATGTGCTGGTCTAGCCGTTGAGTTGGAGTCCATTTGATTTTTCTAATGTCTCCCACCTTTTAAGAAACATGCTGAAATATATTTACTTACAGTTTTCAAACCGAAACATTTGTGTTTTTCAATTGTTTCAAATTTTTCATTCCAAATGCACCCCTAGTCTTCATTCTCATCTGAAAAATGCCCAAATCTCAGCTTCATACACTGACCCTTTGCCTTTGGAAGAAAAATCTTTCCTGACCTTACTTTCTTGCAGCATAACTGTGTGTTTGTGTCCCTAGAGTTTGTCAAGTCTTTTTCATTTTTTGAGCATTTGTTGTGGTTTTGTGAGTGCTTTCCTCTCTTACTGACTTGTGGGTGACACAGAGCATGTTTGGAGCAAGAGGGTAATGGAGGTTCAATGGAAATGCTTCAGGTAGAAGGAGAAGAAAGGTAGATTTTGAGCAAAGCGAACAGTAATTGACTGAGTTCCTTTTGATGTCTCTGATGGTGGAGGATACCTACTAGGAAGAGGCAAAGGAGCGCCCCCTCTGCCCTTTGTCCTGTAGGATGGCCCTTATTACCAGAGCAGCAAGTATCCTTAACAATGGGCTGCACCTTTGTGATCTGATTTCTCCAAGAAGCTCATTCTCTGCCTCTCTAAAACACAACCCTCAAACGAGTCACCACTTTTCACTGTTCTGTAGCTGATATTTGAGGCCAAACATACTTAGTACTTCTTTCTTTGCAAGATTTTCCTAATCAGAAGTCATCAGTAATATAAGGTAAGTCCTGAACTTCCAGAGCGAGGAAGCTGTTCCTCCTTCAAGACTCATTCTAAACATTCTTGGGGAGAGAAGGACCACACAGAAGAGTGGGAGACCAGTTTGGAGTGGTATAACACGGTGGGAGTATCCCTGGTGGCTCAGCCAATTCTACATTGGTCTGCTGACCAAAAGATCAGTGGTTCAAGCCCACCAGGATAGAACATGACAGGACAAGTTTCAGATCTATTTTTCATGGAATCACTGTGCATCATACTCAACTCAAAGGCACTTAACAACACCACCACCACAAACTATTTCATGACTCTACTGTTACTTACCTGTAGCTGAACACCAGCATTTCTA